AGGGAACACTTTGGCACAACTGTTGCTGCTGAATTTGCTTTAGTCTGCATACTAGTTGAGCGATAATCTTAAAATAAGTGTGAAGAAAAGAAACGCTTTTGACCTGGCGTAGAACAACCAATATTTAAGCTAGTCTTTTCTTTTAACTGTTGTTAAAAGCCCCAGTCTGGCTCTAAAAAATTTATTGTGGTCGAAAATTGCTTGTTATATGAAAAATGGAGAATTTTTTTTTTGACAATAAATTTTTTCGTGTAACGTTTATATTGAATGACACTTGATCTGCAATGTCCCGCGACTAATAAAAACTATGATCTCATTCATACAGACAAATTGGTTAACGTGATTACGTTCTTGCAGAGACCAATCATATTTTACGTGACACAAACTTTGATCGTTAAAACTTGCAAAGGCTTTTTAACAAGGGCCAAAATTTATTCTTTGCATCAGCCTTTTCATCCATTAAATTCCATTTCATCAATTACTTTTTCCCTCTCTTCTTCACTGAAGATAAATTGCAAGTTCTTTTTTTGTAAAAAAGGATTGACATTTTTGCTTGGTTCATTGCCAGAGATTTATTTTGGCATAAGTACATTCCACCCGCCATAATAAACTCATATCTTTTCTAATGCACTTGCATCTTACAAAGCTCAATTGCAGATAATTATATTGTGCTGGTTGCATAGATTGTATTAGTTGTTGTGAATAATTATTTTGTATGGCCAAATAACTCTTAACCGCCAATTCTAATTTGCCCTTTTTAATTTAATATTGATATTTTGAGCCACTGTTGTCAGCTGTAATATATGAAAGATTGATATCTGTTTATAGGATCGACGAAAGTTCAAATTTGCTTTTTTAGAGTCCTCTCGCAAGAGATAAATCGGCTTCCAATGTATTAATGTCAATACTTTGTTATTTTTAAATTCTCATAACGTAATTCATCACCAATGCATCATCAAAATCCTTGGCACCAAGAGTATCATTTGTCCTCTTGACTTCAAATACACCATTTTGTATCTCAAAAATTAAAAATCAAAAATTCCATCATCAAGATTATAAATCTATAGTCACTTTTATACGAATAATAGGAACACAATATATGTAAACATTTACAATTAAGTAGTGTAATAACATTCTCAATTTTTTGCTTAACGCGACATAGACAATTAAATCAAAGCTGAATGCATACCCTAGCAAATTACTTGACTAAAATATTAGTAATATGTTAAGTCAAGACTATTACTACTGTTAAATTTACCCCCGTTATGCCAGCAAGCCTTGGTAATGTTGTCACAATGACCAGATATTCATATAATTACTAAAATTATGCGAAAAAAAACAAAATTCCTTTCAAAAATAGAAATAAATGTGGCATATTGATCGAGTAGAGTATAGGTAAATAAAGTTGTCCTTTCCATCTATGCCAGGATATCCTGCCCTATAAAAAATTTAGTCAGAAAATGTATGGTATTTCCATACTAGTCGTGTGACATTTCCCTGAGGCTGCTTTTCTATATTGATATTAATATATTAATATGTGAAAATAAATTCGAAATTGATGTCACATAAGTTTTTTTAAAATATCTCATTATTTTTATAATAAGCACGAACTTTGTTGTTAAAGTAAAATAAAAGTACTCCATTAAAGCGTTCTAATGAATACTCTTTCATATCGAAAGGTTTTCTCTACATAAATCCACGGTTATTCAAAAACGGTATTACTTTTTCACTTCAAAGCTCAGATTATTTCTCAATATTGCTTTAAAAGACTTAATAGTAAATGAGAAGGTGTAGAATACTTTAAACTTTCATATGATTATTACTTTATGGGAGTATTGGTTAATAAGTTTTAGAGAGGTTCACGAAAAATTATTTATAGAAATTTTAATATTCATGAAGAATTTTATGTAGATGGGATTCAGCAAACTAAAAGGTATTTTAATAGTGATTGTTTTATATTTCTGACTTTATATGATTAAAGTTTCATTAATGGTTATTATGAATATCCATCAATTAATAGTTGTTATGGCAACATTAAACAATAATATGCAAACGACAACAACGAATCATCTTTTTTGAGGATGATAATAAAGATTAAGATCCAGTTTATATAGTAGTGATCGAAGTAAGCATTAAGGACAAGATTTATGAAGAAAACATACTAACGAATGTTACCAATTATTCAATAGTTTGTGTAGGAGTAATCAAAGTAAGCATTATGGACAAGATCTATGAACAAAATATACTAACAAACGTTTTATCAATTATTCAATAGTTTGTATAGGAGTGATCTAAGTAAGCATTAAGGACAAGGTCTATGAAGCTTGCAAAGCAAGTTTCACAAAAATGAACGCTTTATCAATCATTCAATGGTTATGTTTATTATTTGCTTATATATATAAATTTCTCTTTTATTTTAACTTATATTTAATAACTTCACTATGATCAGAGATAAAACACATTTAATTTAATAATTGTTGCTTGTTTATTATTTATTTATGTATATAAATTTCTTTTTTATTTTAACTTATATTTAATAACATCACTATGATAAATAATTAAATGAATAAAGTCAGAGATAAAACACCTTTTAATTTAATCATCATTGTTGCTTGTTTATTATTCTAATCATTATTTATGTATATAGGTAAAGAAAAATTTTAAAATCTATTTATTTATTATATTTACTTTTAAAATAAATGATTTTACTATAAAAGACATACCTAAGTGATCAAAAATCTGTAAATATTCATAATAATGTAATATTTGGACATTTATTTCTGCTTATACTTGCAATTGGACGCGTCAAACAAAATTTTACGCATATGAATATAAAGACAAAATTTGACTTTGAGGGTCAGATTATTTTCGGTTTTGTTAACAACCTGTCTTAAAAAATTTCTTAAAGCAGATACATATGATAAAGAAATTATATCTCAAATTTGGTGGTGGTTGCTGCACAGCAAGGGTATCAAACGAGGGCGTGAAGATATTCGATTATAAAATTTTACTATTACTATGTAAATTCGAATTTTACTATCCAAATTTTACAAATGTCCTGTGACTGATATATATAGATTTTAAAAATATGTAAATAATATAATAATCAAATTATGTCTATAAATATAACAAAGTAGACAATATATAGTTTACGTTTCTTTTATTTGATTGTACATAAATATAATTACTATTACCCTTTGTTATAATTAAATTTTTGTTTTACGTATCAGATATAAAATCCGTTATAACAAGATTAGTATTAGTAATAATAATAACGAATTTTAAATTTTCCGTGCCCGTTGTGACAAGGATTTAATTTCAAATCGAAGATTAAACATTTCGAGTTCCTAAGACCGGAGCTTTCGATTTAAAAAGTGAGATTATTACGCACTAGTATTATTTGGATATAATTGACAAACATAAATACGAAAAGGAAATTATCATTAATTTATTATATATGTATAATTTTTTTTACCAAGAACAAAATCGCACCCTATGGTAAACTCTGTAATCCAGAAGAGTGCATCTGATAGCAGTAGTAACAACATAAACAGTGTAATTATTAACATGCACAATTATTTATTTATCAAGATGAAATATACAGATTTTAGAAAAGAATGTAAATAAATAAATAAACTATTTACATTTCGTCTTCTGTTTTCAATTGAAATCTTTAGTAATGGCGACATCCAACAATCCTCTTGGTAAAACTCATTATGATCGGTATCTTTCACCACATTTCCTATTTGTCGTTCCTTTTGTTGATGTTGGTGAATGGAGGAGGATGAGGAAGATAATCTTAAACATGTTTGTGGAGAGGAAATTGACAAGGAGGAGGGTAATGTTGGAGGTACTCGTGGAGAAGTTGTTCTTCTTGTTTTGTTGTTATTGTTGTTGTTGAATTGTGAAATATTAATCTTTTAGTGGAGGAGATGACTTTTGTGTCCTTGTTAATTTTTTTGTTGGATGATGATGAATTTCTTGGATTTAAGAATGTCCATTCAATCGCTTTCGCATTCAATAATAGCTCCTTACCAATACACAATCCTCCAGAAACATGAAACGGAATATTTTTCTCGTGTAATCTGCTACCGAGATCTCCGTATTTTTATTCTCATCTTCTTTCGAAAAAACATTGTATTATTGGTGTGAAATTTTGAACGTGTTAGCGCGATCATTGTCGTCATCTATCTTAATAACTTCATAGTCACCCACAACCTTTCCAGAAATGTTAAATACGGCGTTGCATTGCTAACGGCTAAGGATTTTTCAGGCTCCTTCAGATCATTGATGGGTATATCGAGTTTGATTGCTTGGTGAATTACTAACTAATAGACAATACGAGAGAGAGAGAGAGAGAGAGAGAGAGGATATAATTAATTCATTAAAATATTATCATTAATAAAAGCAATCCAATTGGCCACTTTCAGCAAAAAACCTACCTTATACCGTACACAACGTTTGATTGTAAATGGAATAAATATTCAGGCAATCTATTCAACATTTTGAATTCTAAAAAACCAAATTCTACATCATTTAACTGGAACACCACCCTCCAGAGATTGTCTCATTAGTTTTTGTAACATTTTTTACCAAACCGACCAATCTGATTATGATAGGATTGAATTGATGACTTTTTTTTTGTGAACAAAAAAGATGAGCCACCACAGTCTACAAGCACGAAGATGCAACTATGTTTTTATTAAAGGTTGTGTGGTGTTGATTAGTGTGTAAAATCACCAGTAAAGTTTATGAATAGTAATAATAAATAATGATAATTTGTAAATAATAATTAGTTTAAATTATTTAAAGTGATAATAAATATAAATCTGTTGTTTTGCTGCTTTTGATATATGACGAACATTTATCACTAGCGTATATACACATATATATATGGAAATATACAAACCAGAAAAAATAATTACTGTGGAAGTTCGATTTTATTGGCTTGAAGATCATTACGCAATTTGAAGATAAAATAATTTCATGATAATGATGAATATAAACAAAGAAACCATTAAATTATGTATCTACAATATCTAATAATCATAATATCCTTAATAACAATTTAGAATTGGGTAAAAGAGGGATATTACATTCAATTAGATTTGGAGGCGAGTGGTTGGATTTTATAGTAATAGTTAACTAGCCATTGAATCGAGAATACCAGTTAGGTGCATAGGCATTAACTTTAAGTAGGCCTAGCTGGTTCGATTTTTGAGTTACTAAATGGCCATGCACTCCAAATTTTTTTTCTTTGGATTAATAGTAGCAGGGGCAGTAGTTTTATTTTTTTATTTAATTGTTTGTATTTTATTATTATATTTTACACAATTATACTTTAATAAAAATAAACTTCAACTTGGGAAAAAAAAAAAAAAAAAAAAAGATAATGATGAATATAAACAAAAATGATAAATCATCATTAGACTTTGGAACGTCTTAGAAATAAATTATCTATAAAAAAGTAGTTCACGCTAACATGTCTAAATAAATCATAAAAACCTTAAACTTTTGCTTCAAATATAACCCACCAAACCAAATTGATTGAGCTTTACCGAAATATAAAGAAAAATTAAAGTAATATATCAATGCAAAAAAAAACAAGTCATAAATTAAGCACTCTAGGTAAAAAATAGGTTTAAAATTATTGCCTGCTGGTTTCCATACAACACATTCATCAAAAAAAAAGATTTATGTGATCATTGTGACAAAGCATTTGATCCAAACTTTCCAGATGTATTAATTTGCACCCATAGTTATCATTATGATGTTACGGAGATTTGAAAAAAAGTTGTATACATCGTATGGAAACACCAATTGAGCTGGAATAAGAAGAAGAAGATTCAATTAATATGGACGAAGAACATGTAAATACGCTGCTTTCAAATTTAAAAAATCATATATTTATTAAAAAAAAATTTTTTTTTTCTATATAACTTGACACAATTATTAAAGTAATTTCTATAATTTATGATTTTAAAGAAAATACCTTTAATAAATCTTCATGAGTATTGGAGTTATCCCAAAAATTATTCGTGAAAATACAACTCATCTTGTATTATTTAACGGTGGAGGTTCAAAAGATGACATTCAACGAATTATTCGTCAATATATAGAAGAAGATCCACGTAAAGCTTCCAGAGTCATTAATAATTATTTGCGGAATGGGTGAAACCTCGGTAATTAACTGCCATTCTTTCTTTATTATATGTTTAATTACATGATTTTTTTTAAAGGTGTAATAAAAAAATTTTTTTAAAAAGATATATCTTGGAAGGTAAAATTACTAAGTAAAATAAGACGCATATAGTAAACTTTGTAAATATTAAAGTTATCCTGATGCATTGGTACTCCACTTTCTCTATTTTATAACTAATTATAAAGTTTATTTAACAATTATTATATGTCAATTGAAAAAAATATGAATTCATTTTAAATTATTAAACTACACAATATAATTTCAGGATCCGTCCTCGCTACTACGCTAATGATCTATGAACGAATGAAGTAACATTATTAAATTAATTTAGAAATTCTTCATTGATTGCATAACTTATGTGGAATTATTTTTAAAAAATTCCCAAACATAGTATAAAAAACCTGTTCGAGATCGAGAGCTATTTATATATACAAAAAACAATAATAATAAACAATAAAAGAATTTTTCATATTTTTTCAATTACGCATGCAATATATCTTTTTTTTTTCATATAAAAAAGAACGTTTTTGTTTTTTATAACGAAAAAACTTAAATTTATAACCAATATATAACAAAAAACTAAATTTATAATCAATATAAAAAAAAAACCAAAAATGTATCAAAATTATTCTGACAATATTAATAATAATAATATTGATTCTAACAATAATATTAGTATTAATATGAATGATGTTAATATTAATAATCAAGAATTTGTTCCTAATAATTACAGCAATCAAACCGCCGACCATTACTCCAATAATTATTACATTCATCAAAGCCCTGAAGAGAATAATTTCGGTTACCAAAACAGTCAGAACTTGGTCGAAAATAATTACATTGATCAAAACTCTGGTGATAGTAATTTGATTCATCAAATTAATTTCACCAACCAAAATTCGTGTATTGTTGGCAATAGTTTTGTTAATCAAAGCTTCACTGGAATGGTTGGCGGTTCTGGCGGTGATAACACTGTCCAGAATCCATCTATTACTACAAGCATTAATTATCTGAACAATTGTTTTAACAATAGTTTTATTGGTCAAAATTCTCATCAAAATTCTATTATCGCGAATAATTTCATTGATCAAAACAATTATCAACTGCTACTACTTATTCAAATAGCATCGCAACTTCAAGATATCCAAAATTTTCTATCTAACAACTATAACAGACATTAAACATTAATACTAATACAATGGTTCATTATTCGTAATAAATACTGAAATAGCACTAATAGTAATAACAATGTAACATCAATTATTTCAATTTTATTTTTTTCAATTTTTTCTAATTAAGCTTCTTTTATATTTTATATTTTGTTTGGGGCATATTATCAATAATAACAAATTTTTATAAGCTCAGTCAAGAAGAATATATAATCTAACATTATATGATAATTCAATTTAATAATTAAGATAATTTAGAATTATTTAATACAATTATAAATCTTTAAAACAATGCAGCATTTTTTGGATTATATTTTGTGTCTGAAGTTCACTCGTGTATTTGTTGTACTAAATCAAAAGATATAAATTTTTTGATAACCATCCATTTGAAAAAATTTTTCAATTCCTAATTTTTCAGCAAATACTTTTGCTTTTTAACCACTTTATCTGTAATAATAAGACCTTGAGCACTAACTCTACTAATCCAGAAATTCATAGTATTTTCTAAATCTGGAAATTTCACTGGCTTTTGATGAAAAATGCTATTACTACGATGAATTAAATTTGGAATATTTATCCTCTTTTTTACCATTGTGCATGCAAATGAAATTGTATTTTCTACGATGATAAAATAAATAATTATAAACTAAATATTTATGTTGGGTGCAAAATTACAAAAAAAATTTTATTTACCAGAACTACAAGCTGGGCCCAATGTTGTGGCTAATATGACTTGTAGCAAACAACCTTATTATTTTCTTCAACTAGGTATTTTGTTCATGTTCTGGCAAAATTATGTAACCACTTAGCTAAGGATGAAGATGCACAATCTACTATTTAGATATTTTACAGTGTGAATATGCTGCTTATTTCTTTATAATCAAATGGATGCTAAAAGGTTTTGAAAGCTAACATAAAGAGGTGCAAGAGATACCTCAACAGAAATTGCAATGTAATTTTTCAAGTACTCATCGCCTCTCTTCAAATCAGAAGGAGAACAGAGATGATGACATTGCAGTTACCAATAAAAACAATTGGGTGGCAATTATTGACATATATAATAATTAGAACATTTAAAGCAGGAGTCAGAACATGAAAATTATGAGTATTTTTGGCGTTTCTCATCTCTCACCTTTTAATGATAACTGGAAAAAGATCAAATGAAGGAATGGAAAAACGATACTGAAATTAAAATGGATTGTACATATTTATTGATCCACATAATGATGAATCAGACACTTATGTCGCAAGCAAAATTTACTAACAATGAGTAAACTGCTCTGGATATGCCATAAATTCAAGCCATCCTGGGAACCCTAATATCTGTTGATGTTAACATTGTTGATTAGCACTTTATACTTTTGCAGTAACAGCGGGAAGCATAGTATAATTATTTAGTTATATGATGGTCATTTTAAAATAATAACATAATATATTTTTTCCAAGTGTGTAAATCTCCATTTTGTATATGCTCAAATACCAATATGTAACCATTTTCATTTGGATCCTTTGTGATTCCAAACATTTGTTAACAGAAAAATAAAGTTTATCCAACTAAAAAGTCGTAAAATAATATTTATGAAAAATAATATCTTTCAAATTTTATCTCATTGCGAATATCTAAGATATAATTTATAGAATTTTTCGGCACAACCTTTTTTAGTAGTATCTAGAACTATATATCAGGACAAGTTAGTTTACAAGGGAATCTTGAAGGCAATGAATATTGTAAACAATAAGGGGGAAGTTGAATTAGAACAAGCAAATATTCAAATTATGTACGGAATTTAAGAATTTTGTACAATTTTGGCCCAAAAAACCCTTCCAATCTGAGGCAAATAAAATTGATATCGCGAAAAAATTAGCTATGAAACAATATTAGGAAATAAAAGGCAATATTGGGAAATGAAGAGGTATCATTGATATCGGAATTGGTACGGAATTTTGCTCAAATGGAGGTAGCTATATATAAAGTATAGCAAATGCTAGCCTCAGCAAAATTACTCGTCAAAGAATTGATATAAGGACTAACCTTCCCCTTGTGGCTCTGTGTAGATTAAACGTAGCGTGCAAGTATTGTATTTTCCCTAATCATTTATTCATTGGTGATTAAAAGTCAAAACTAGTTTCGACTTTCGCACATTTGCGAAAATATAGTTCTGGAAACCAACCTACATGAGACGCCTGTTTAAATTTAATAACTGGATAAATAGAATAATTATGAATTTCTCGTGATAAATAAGGTCTGTGTAGTATTCATTTTTTTTTATAATATTAGAAATTGGATTACTGCAAAATATTTGTTTATTAGAATTTAATATACATATTTTTTTTTTGGCAGTAATAAACTATAAATTAAGCTTTATTTCTCAATCTATTGGTTCAAATAATACCTTAGGGGCGTGAAAATCCTCCCATGTAAATTTATCTTGTTGATAATAATCATCTTCGTCATTGATAATAACAATCTTGATTTGCAGAATTTCGTCTGTCGATAAATTCATTAAAGTGCCTAGTGTATATAGTGACCTTGTATCTTTCGTAATCTGATGAACTTCTATCCAAATCGCTAATGACTAAGGCGAGTAAACTCCGATGTATGCCAGGAAAATTATTTTCATCAGTTTGAAGATAAGACCTTGCATAATTGTATTTTTCATAATGCAGATAATAGTTGTAAGCGTGCAATGTTTTTTCTTCTATTAATGGATATATTTTTTGTCTTAACCATCGGCCCAGATCCCTTCCTAAATGATTGCTGATGTTATTATTATCATTATTAACTTGATTGATTTGAAGCATTTTTAATACTTATAATTAAAAAATTTTTTTCGTTAAGTATTTATCATTAAGATTATCATTAAGATTCGCATATTTGGAAAGTTCAATTACATAAATTTCTTCGCATCGAATCAGAATAGAATTCTGTACAATTTTCTCAACCAAATTGAGCATTAGCAATACATGATTCTTTTGTTCTGTGAATTGAAACTGTTTATGACTAAAAATTATTTGGATATATTCGAATGTTCGGCTACACACATGAATATTCTTAATGAATATTCGGTACCATATACCAAACCAGAAATTAAAATGGACATTATTAATAATTAATGGATGTTTAAATCTGAAACGAATAAAACGAGTAACTCGAATAAAACGAATAAAACAGCGAATAATTTGAATAAAACACTTCGAATAATAATTTGAATAAAACACTTTGAATAATAATTTGTATTACGAATAGAAACTCTCTACTCTTATAAACAACCCGAAACATTAATATAAAATTTAATTAAACAATTGTTTGTTTGTTCTTTCACTTGTCAAAAGGCGACGTTAATCTTTCTTTTAAAACTAATTTATATAAATAAACAATATAAATAAAAATTCAAAGATAAAAATATTATTATAATAATAATAAACGAGAGGCAGGTCGCATGTCCGAATTTGCATTCCTAATTTGGTATGTGATATCAAGAGTTTGTATTAGCAACTGGTTTTTTTTTTGTGTCTTTTACTCGATATATAATTAATAATACTAATACAAGGATTTATATGGCGAAACAATTGGGCTAGTTTGCATACTAGAAAAATGGATACAAGGCTTCTTTACATTAAAAACATGTGGAACTAAATTTATATAATCAAAAACCCACCGAATATTTGGTTGAGTACATCAAGTACATTATAGGTCCCAAACACCCAACCCCAAAAAGGTAAATATCATTACCAAAAAACCACATTTAATCAATCAATCAAATTTGTTTAGATAAATTAATTATTCAATGATAAACAAAAACTTTAATCCTGTTATACAAGATTTTCACGCATTGGTGTGAAATTATATTGTGTAACTTAACATCTGACTGATTACATTAATTATAATATAAGATCGGGTAGTTATACGAGTTAAAAAACCTGTTTGTGATGAACTTGCAAACCTTACTAATTACTATTGCGCGTCATTTTTCTTAAATATAAAAATACACATTTATTCACGGAAATGAAAATTTTGTTTTTTAAAAAAAAAATAATAATAATTAATAAAATAAGCTCAATAAATAAATTCATAACCAATATATAACAAAAAACTAAATTCATAATAAAAAACCAAAAATGTATCAAAATTATTCTGAAAATAATAATAATAATATCGGTTCTAACGATAATGTTAATGTTAATAATCAAGACTTTGTTCCTAATAATTACAACAATTACAACAATCAAGCCGCTGGATACCACTACAATAATTCTTACATTCATCAAAACTATGGAGACAATAATTATATTCATCAAAACCCCGGAGACAATATTTACATTCAACAAAACCATGAAGAGAATAATTTCAGTCACCAAAACAACCAGAACTTTGTCGAAAATAATTACATTGATCAAAACTCTGGAGACGGTAATTTAATTCATCAAATTAATTTCACTAACCAAAACTCGTGTATTGTCGATAATAGCTTCGTTAATCAAAGCTTCACTGGAGTGGTTGGCAGTGATAACACTGGCCAGAATCAATCTATTACTACAAACATTAATTATCTGAACAATTGTTTTGACAATAGTTTTATTGGTCAAAATGTTCATCAAAACAATGATCAACTGTCACTACTTATTTACATAGTATCTCAACTTCAAAATATCCAAAATTTTCTATATAACAATAACAATAACAGATATTAAACGTTGTTGTTAATGCAATGGTTCATTATTCGTAATAAATAGTAGTATAACATCAATTTTTTCAATTTTATTTTTTTCAATTTTTTTATTTTTATTATATTTTATATTTTGTTTGTAAGTACGGTTGAGATATAGTCAATAAATAAACAAAATTTTTTATGAATTCAGTCGAAAAGATTATATAATCTAATGTTATATGATAATTAAATTTATTCAAAGTTATTTAATACAATTATAAATCATTAAAATAACGCAGCGTTATTTAAATTATACTTTGTATATGAAGTTCACTCATGTATTTGTTGCACCGATACGATATAAATTTATAGAGAATTATTCAACCAATAATTCAAATGATTTGTTTTAATAATTGCTAAAAATTTATTTATTCGTCAATTTACTATATTTTCACTTATAACAATTATTCATGTTAATTTGTTATTAACCTGATGATGAGATATTTAAAATTTGAGAACTCTTTGTAGCAAACCCTTAACATAAGCTAATTAATTTTGTTCGATGCTTGTCATAAATAGTAAGTTTTTCAAACAAAAAATAGACTTTGCTGGTTATGACAGGCAGAAGAAAAATAATTAGTCTCTCCATAATATTTGTGGGTTTATAAAGTCAACATTTTCTAAACAAGGAAAAACTCCTGAACATTCTGGCCAACGTCATATTGATGGTTATTTTTGTTCAGTTGATTAGAAGAATCACGCATAAGACAATCAATAGAACTTTAGTTATGATGTTTATTATGTGTACATTACCTTTCCGCCTTGTAGAAAATCCGTTTTTAAAAGCATTAAATCTTGGATATCAACCATTTTCAAGAAAAGCGATAGATAAAAATGGAAATATGGTTAACATGCAGATTTACAGCAATTAGATTATGAATAGATAAATGAATTCAAATTTTTTGTGTTTGTTTTGTTTAATAATTACATTTTAATAAATATTAAATGTTATCTCTATAAGCCAGGGTTGGCAAATGTGCAGTCTATTGATGGTCTATTGGTGGTCCATTGGGTCCATTAGTGTAACACTTTGACCATATTTAGTATTTTATTAATTGCAATGGACCAGTCAATTTGCCAACCCTGCTATAAGCCGATTTTATTATGGTTTTTTAAGCTGATGATTTTTTTTTGTGAAAACATTAACTTTGGTCTAAAAATTTAGAAAAGAACAGGAGAGTTTAGGACAGATTAGGATTAACACCATTTCCCTTCTTCAATGTTAAGGATATGTAGATTTTTAATTGATCTTATTCCCTGTGGCTCAAATAGTAGGGTTAAATCTTTATATCAATCTCAAATGAGAGAGATATGCGATTGGATGAGAAATAAAAACAAGGAAAGAGATGTTGCTTAGATCGCATAAAAACTATTATCTCATTCATATAGACAAAATTGGTTGACGTGATTACGTTCTTGCAACGACCAATCAGATTTTAAGTGACACTAGTATTGACATCTAATACATTGAAAGCCAATTTACCTCTTGCAAGAGGATTCTAAAAAGGCAAATTTGAACTTCTGTCGACCCTATAAACAGATATCTATCTTTCATATATTACAACTGACAACAGTGGCTCAAAATATCAATATTAAATTAGGGGCAAATTAGAATTAGCGGTTAAGAATTATTTGGCCGTACAAAATAATTATTCACAACAACTAATACAATCTATGCAACCAGCGCAATATAATTATCTGCGATTGGGCCTTGTAAGATGCGAGTGTATTAGGAAAAGATATGAGTTTATTATGACGGGTGAAATGTACTTATGCCAAAATAAACCTCTGATAATGAACCAAGCAAAAATGTCAATCCTTTTTTACCAAAAAAGAACTTATAATTTATCTTCAGTGAAGAAGAGAGAAAAAAAGTAATTGATGAGATGGAATTTTAATGGATGAAAGGCTGAAGCTATTATACAAAAAGTAAATTTTGGCCCTTGTTAAAAAGCCTCTGCAAGTTTTAACAATCAAAGTTTGTGTCACGACCCGGATTGTTAACGGGTCGTTATTATTATTATTAGGATTTTTTCCATCCGATTGGTAATAGTGTTGGTCGTCAAAACTATTTTGAAGAGACAGTCATAATTAAAATTAAAAGTTATATGTCAAAACTAAATCAAAAGTCAATAGTCAAAAATCAAAACTAGTTTCGACTTATGGCAAAATCTTTTGACTTTCGCATGGTTGCGAAACTCTCTAGTTTTGGAAACCAACACTAATTGGTAACGGGTTAATTCGTCAAAACAGCAAATATTATTGGATAATAACAATATTAATAATATGATATTAATAAACACCAAAAACATTTATTTGTTGGGATTTAAAATAATAAAATATTTATTTATTTAATTTTTATTTGATTTGGAGGATGAATTGTTTCAAGTTGTGATTTATTTCTTTTAAGAACATATTTTTTTAAAAAATCAGGTTTAATCCGTGTTCTTTTTACGTTTTAATAAATTATTAGCATCCGAAAAAACTCTTTCACTTAGCGTAGATGTTGCAGATACAGATAAATACTTTTGTGCCAGTTTACTTAAGACTGGAAATTGTTTCTGCTTTTCATCCCACCAACTCAATGGATTTTGATCGAAAGTAATTGCAAATATTCATTTACAGCAACAGGCCTCTTGCCAAGACGTGATATCAATGGTTTTTTTTGTGTTTTGATTCTGTTGTCAGAATTTTCTGGATGAAATGATTCGATATGTAATGTTTGATTATAGGAGATTGGCAAATGTTGAAGCACGTACATTATTTCAATAAAATATTACAGTCATTCTCTCACA